AAGATGAAGAGGAGGAAGGAGGAGGAGGACGAGGCGGAGGAGGAGGAATAGGAGGAAAAGGATTATGAGCAGGAGGAGGAGGAGGAGGAGGAGGAAGAAAAGGATGAGGGACTGGGGAAGGAGGAGGAGGAGGAGGAGGAGGAGGAGGACTTGAAGTGATATGGCTTAAGGGGCGCTTTAACCCCATGTGATATGGCCTGCGGCCATCTCCACCTCAGGGTTGACAAGGGGACCTGCGCCACAGCAGGCCGCCCTAGGGGTGACCGGAACTGGACCTCCCCAGAGCCCAACAACTTCTCGTTGGATCGAGGGAAGACGCGTGGCAGACCTACGTGTCCAGTGTAATTTACTGTGCTGCATCGCGCGGCACGCGCACCCCATGCGCGCGATACCTGCAGCCAAAATTGCTTTAACAGCTTTGACGTGCCGACGTTGCAAAATGTGAGGAAGAAAGGGGACGGGGCGCGCATCCCGCGCGAAAGCGCGAAATGTCGCTTTCGCCCTGGCGCCGCGCCTGCTTGTCAGGAGAGCTGGGCTCCTGCTTGGGCGCGGCACATACTTCTCGATCGCCAATTCGTTGACGCGCGCGCGGACGAACACGTCGCTCTCGCCTTTGCGCCGCGCAGATTGCCTCCCGCCTCGCGCGCGTATCTTTCCGCGCGCGACAATTGGAGGCGCGGCCGCGCGCGAGCGGGCGGCTCGTCGTCCTCGCCCAGGCGCTGGGGACATTCCGCCTGGAACCGGCGTTCCCGCGGGGGCGCGGCGAACGTTTCGCTCGCCGAGATGCTGTACTCCCCCAAGCGCCGCGCAGCTTGTTTGTGGGAGTGTCAGAGCTGCGTCGGCCCGGCACATGCTTCGTCTTCGACGCGCTCATCGGAAAGTCGGCAGGCCGCGAAGAATTCTAGGCTAGATGGTGCTACCGCCGCAGCGCCACGCACGGATTTTATGAAGCTCCGCGCATCAATCCCAATATCAAGCTGTGCCACCGTTGACTGCTATGTCATGGGAGGGCGGGTGGGAATTTGCGGCCCTGGTGACTCTTACGACCTCGCTAACATGATCTGACATCCTACGACTCTCACCCATCCTTTCCCATGGCACTCTTTCCTTTTGCGTCCGTGGGATGCCTTAGAGGACCTTGCATCCTACCTTCGCGTGATGCGCAATCAAAACAGAGGCTATGCACATTGGAACAGGAGGAGGACCAGGGGAATGAGGACGATGACGCTGCGAAAGGAAAGAATAGGACAAATACCAGCAGCAGCAACACCAGAAGGAGCAGGAATAGCAGGAAAAGCAGGAGGATCGCTGGAAGGCGGGGAAAGGAAGGGGTGGCAACGATGATAAAGACACTGGACCCAGCGGTGTGGCTCGCGCTGGGGTGAGAGCACCATTCTTAACGATGGGAGCCAAACGCCGATCCTGAAACGTGGCCAACGCTGTAGCGGGATCACCATTTTCAAAGACCGGGAACGTTCCGATCGAAACATATACTACGGACAGAGCATCTCTCGGCGCGGAGATCCTCACCTGCGCATCTATCTGCAAACGCGTTTCTTTCTGAGTGTTTGGGTGCACGTGGGTCGGGGTGTGAGCGGGTCTGTGTACGAAGGCTGATTCCGCGTGAACCTGCGTATGAACGCCTGGATGTGAATACGCTGTGGTGGGAAGGAGCCTGAAGATATACGGCTGAGTAGAAGAGCGCCTGCGTATGAGTGGTCTTGAGTGTGATTGGGCCGACGCATTCGTGATGGAGTCCTGCAATTCAAACGCCTCCGAGGTCCTCACAATCTGGGCGCACGGGCCCGTGTCGTACCACCTGACGGATGTCCAGGAGGATGCCCAAGTGTAGTATCTGCTACATCGCGGTGACCACGGGCTCTGGGAAGAGGCCCGTCCAATGGGGCCAACCAAGCGTTCTGCTTGAAACATCCTCAAGATCTGGGCGCGAATGGGCCCGTGAAACACCCCTGGCCGACCCCCCTGATGGCCCCTAAGTGCTAGGACTGCCACATCGCGGTGATCATAGGGCCAAGAAAAAGAGACGCACGTACCCCGCCAACGCGGGCGTTTTGCATGATGCAGCCTCTCAATACTATCGGGAAGTGGCCCGCGAAACACCCCGAATGTCGTCCGTCCTACATCGCGACGCGCATGGGGCCCTGAAAGGACACGTCTGCTTCCAAAAACTGTCGTTTCTCATTCGATGTTCCCCCACTATGGACGCGACTGTGCCCATGAAGCGCACCTGGTCGACAAACACCCCGTGAGAAACTCAAACACCACTCATGCCTGCTACAACTGCACCGCGACGATCCTGGGGTTTTGATAAGAAACTCGTCTACCGTCTGTCCTGTCAGAGCGGGCGTTCCGCATGAAACGTCCCCACAATCTGGGCGCAAACGGGCCCGTGAACCACCCCTGGTCGGCCTCTCTTGGGATCCCAGCGTGCCATGCCTGCCACATCGCGACGATCATGGGGCTCCGACAAGCGACGCGTCTACCCTGCCAAAGCGGGCGTTTCACACGAGACATCTCCCACCACCTGGGTGCGAAGTGGCCCGTAGAACACCCTGGGTCGACCCCCCTGCCCCCCCAGCGGCCCTGGTTACCCCGCCCCCCTGGGTGTGGGTGCCTCAGGTGCTCTACATGGTGTGGCTGAGTGTGATTCGAAATGGTTAGGGGTGGGTCTATGTCTGAGTGAGTATCAGAGCGAGTGCGAATGAGTCTGAGCATGAGTGTGAGTGTGGGGGAGCCTGGGTATGAGATAATCTGAGTATACCTGAGTCTGAGCGGGCTGCGTATGAGCGAGTCTGAGTGTGAGTGTCCAGATGTGAGTGTCTGAGTGTGGAGAAGTCCGAGTATGGGTGGCCATGAGTGTGAGTGAGTCTGAGTAGGTGTGGAGCTGAATACGATCGGGTCTGGGTGTGAGTGAGCCTGAGTACGCGTGAATCTAGGTGTGGGTGGGTCTGAGTATGCACGGTCTGAGTATGAGTGAGGCTGAATGCGAGTGTGACCGGGTTTGAATATGGGCGGCCGAGTCTGAATGAGAGAGGGAGGATGGAGGTGTGGAGGAGGGAGGAAGGCGGGAGTGAGTGAGGAGGCGGAGGCATCACACTAACAACAAGAACCCCATCCTTAGGATCTTGGGGATAACGAGGCGCTGAATGAAAAGTAATGCGCGGGATAGGCGGGATAACGCTGGGACGAGGCCAGGGAGAAAGAGAGAAAGAGAGAGAGAGAGAGAGAGAGGAGAGCAATACTGTAATACTTTTTGACCGTGGACTGGCAGAGGGCGCGGGGATGGAGGCTGCAATCAAAAGCTGGGACAACTCCCCCGCCCCTCTCGTCACCTTGGTGCCTCGGCCCCCCCCCCCCTCCCTTCCCCCCCTCCCCCCCCCTCCCCCCCCCTCCCCCTCTCCCTCCCCTCCCCCGCCCCTGCCCCGTCCCGCCCCTGCCGCGCCCCATCCCCTGCCCTCTCCTCTCCCCTCCCTTTTCCCGCGGCTGGGGTCGCGTCGGGGCTTTCTCGGGCCCCTGTTGCGCCCTGGCCGGGGCCAGCGCGGTGGAGCAGTGGAGCAGGCTGGGGGGGGTGGGGCGCAGGAGAGCGGGGCGGGAAGGCCAGCCGCGATGCGGCGTCGCCGGAGGCGAGGAGCTACGCTTCACGCCCCGCTCATCCTTCTCCTGTACCTGCTCCCAAGCGTAACTTGACCTTCTCTTTATCCTTATTCCTTATTAGAATATACTCCTACTCCCCCCTCAGGCCGGCCGATAGGGGCCGCATCTGGGTGGTCCCATCCTAACCTGTTAAAAACAATACAAAATCAATATTTTTCTTATTGTTTCCTCTCGACATGGACGTCCTGTCGTCCACGGCGATAATCCATTGCAAAAAATACCACAAAGAGCACACGCGCGCGTTCATGTCAGAATCCTACCGAACACCGTGTGTTTGCAAGCATTTCAACATAAAAACATCAAAAACCCGATGTTTTTTTTCACAAAAATGGTACAAATTTCCCGCCCGGGCTCTCTTGCTGAAATCATAGGAAAACCATAGGAATCTTAAGAATTCTGTCAAATCCAGCGATTTCACGTCATCGCGCGGTGCACTCGCGATGCTCTGTCATGCACCCAGGCCGCGAATCCTGTGCAAAAAATACCACAAAGAGCACACTCGCGCGTTCATGTCAGAATCCTACCGAACACCGTGTGTTTGCAAGCATTTCAACATAAAAACATCAAAAACCCAATGCTTTTTCACAAAAATGCTTTGGGGTGTCCTGTCAGACCGTCGGGCTTCCTCCGGCCACCTCTGGCTTCCTGCGGTGTACCGGGCCATTCTCGACTCGTCTGGCAATGCGTGCGCGGCATTCAACACGCGCTCGCCAGTTCCCGTCGGCAACCGCCATCGCGGCCGCATCAGCTGTACCAAACCGGCTGGCCGGTGTGACTTCGGCCCCCAGTTGTGCCAGCTTTGCTTCTTATGTTGTGGGAGGGCGGGTGGGACTGGGCATGCCATGCTTGACTCGCTCGAGCTGGCTAGCTTGACCCTCTTCCTACTCCTCCTCCGCCTCCGCCTCCGTCTCCTCCTCCTCCTCCTCCTCCTCCTCCGTTTCCTCCTCCGTTTCCTCCTCCGTTTCCTCCTCCGTTTCCTCCTCCGTTTCCTCCTCCGTTTCCTCCTCCGTTTCCTCCTCCGTTTCCTCCTCCGTTTCCTCCTCCTCCTCCTCCTCCTCCTCCTCCTCCTCCTCCTCCTCCTCCTCCCCCTCCCCCTCCCCCTCCGCCTCCGCTTCCGCCTCCGCCTCCGCCTCCACCTCGTCGTCGTCGTCGTCGTCGTCGTCGTCGTCGTCGTCGTCGTCGTCGTTGTGGTTGTCGTCGTTATCCTCGTCGTCGTCGCCGTCGTCGTCCTCCTCCTCCTCTCCCCCCTCCACCTCTCCCTTTCCCCCTCTTGGACCCCCTCTGCACCCTCGGGGCACCCGTGACCACCCTGTAGATCTTGAGGAGGGAGGGGCCAGCCCCCAGACCCCCCGGCGAGCCGAGAACATCATGACGCTGCTTTTCCGAGGTCTATGCCTCCGGATGCCCGCTTCGTGCCCTGGGATTTGCGAAAGCAGCCCGCGGCGCCAAGTCCGAGCGTGGGGACCGAGAGCTCTCGAACCCCACGCGCTGAAAGCAAGCCAAGGCATCGGAGATCTGGGTACCGTCCGCAGCCACGGCGCAGACCCCGCTGGCTCGCGGACGGTCAACAGACACCAGCGTTTTTTGCGGGCGGGATCGACAGCACAGGAAGATGGTGCTCTCCGATCAGGAGTGGGAGAGAAAACGGGGACCATGACCAAGACTGAACGCGGAAACGTCGTGCCGATCTTGGTCACCGTCCAACCCGTTGGTCAGCATCAACTCGTCGATCATCCTCGCGAATCGGCGACGGCCGACGTGGACCATGACCAAGACACCAGAGGCCCCCTAGATGGGGTCCGAGTAGATGGGTCGGTGGATCGCGCCGCATCGACAATTCATCGGCGATGCATCGCCGATGCATCGGCGATGCGTCGGCGAGGCATCGGCGCCATCACTGTGGAGAAAACCGGGTTCCACATCGAGCCGCATCGCCGATGCATCGGCGAGGTGGCACGATCCTCCGATCCCGTCTACTCCGACCCCATCCGGGAGGCCTGGACGCACGCACCGACGAGAGCCCGCGACATCTCGGCCATGGTCTGCGCTCCTCCCCTCGGCGTCACCAGCTGTCAAGGGCCAGCCCCGCGGAGTCGCCGCCGCCGCCGAACGCGCCCCCCGCGCCCGCAGGGGCGGGCCCGCCGCCCGGCGGCAGCGGGCCGACGGCCACGAAGGGGCCGCCGTCCACCGACACCCAGGGGCCCTCCGCGGGCGCGGCGGCCGCCGCGCGGCGCTCTCGGGCGGCCTGCACGGCCCAGCCGCGGAAGCTGCGGCCGCCCGGGTGGCGCGCCGAGCGGCGCCACAGCGCCGCCGCCGCGCGCTCTGCCAGCGCGTCCGCGTGGCGCAGCGCCCCGGCGCAGTGGCGCCGCAGGCCGGCGTTCTCCTCTTGGGGGGG